CTGGGTCTCTTTGGCAGAGAAAACAGGATTTACTGAAAAAATCTGAGTGTAAACCAGATTGTGTGTGTGTGTGTGTGTTGGGGGAGGGGGCAAAGGTACAATTACTTAAGCATTGCCGCGCAATGAGGATGTGTTTTCTTGGACCTTCTTTTAGGCAGATTTAGTTAAGATTCTCTGTACTCTCCCCCTTGGCTTGATGTTCAGTTCAAAATCAGATGGTGGGTTTGGCAGTTCCTCAAAAAGTTAAATCTAGAGTTATTATAGGACCCAGCAGTTCCTCTCCTAGGTATATATATACTCAAGAGGATTAAAAACATATGTTCACACAAAAACTTGTACACAGATGTTCATAGCAGCACTATTCATAATAGCCAAAAGGTGGAGACAACCCAAATGTCCATCAACTGATGAATGGGTAAACAAAAGGTGGTCTCTCTACACAATGGAATATTACTCAGCCATAAAAAGGAATGAAATAGTGATATATGCTATAGCTTGGATGGATCTTGAAAATATTATGCTAAGTGGAAGAAGCCAGACACAAAAGTTATGGAATAGGCAAATCTACAGAGACAGAAAGATTAGGGGTTGCCAGGGGCTGGAGGGAAGAGAGCATGGGGAGTGACTGCTGATGGATGTAGGGTGTTTTTGGGGAGTGATGAAAATATTCTGGTATTAGATTGTGGTGATAGTTGTACAACTTTATGAATGAACTAGAAACCACTGAATTGTCACTTGAAAATAGTGAATTTTAGAATATATGAATAATATCTCAATTTAAAAAAATTAGATAGTAGAAAGTCTGCCCTGTTTTTAAAGCTTTATTATTTCTGTAAAAATGACACGCTCATTTTAAAATATTCAACCAATACAAAAAAAATGCTCAAAGAAGAAAGTAAAAACATCACCTGGTGACCACTATTAGCGTTTTGGTTGAGAGCGCAGATCTGGTCAGACTGTTGAGGATTGAATTTGAGCAAGTTACTGAACTTCTTTCAAAGATGAGGAGAAAAACCCACGGCTATTCAGTGCAAAGAAAAAGCAGTGAACGCCAGCTGCTGTGATCATTACGTGCATGTGCGTGATGTCCATAAGTGTGATTAGGCTCTACATGCTGTTTTTTTTTTTTTTTGTGAGGAAGATCAGCTTTGAGCTAACATCCATGCCAATCCTCCTCTTTTTGCTGAGGAAGACTGGCCCTGGGCTAACATCTGTGCCCATCTTCCTCCACTTTATGTGGGACGCTGCCATGGCAGGGCCTGACAAGCGGTGCATCGGTCTGCGCCCAGGATCCGAACTGGGGCCGCCAGCAGCAGAGCGCGCGCACTTAACTGCTAGGCCACGGGGCCGGCCCCACTACATGCTGTTCTATTACTTGACTTTTTTGTGAACAAAAATTGTTTTTAAGACTTTACCTTTTTTAGAGTAGTTTTAGGTTCACAGCAAAATTGAGGGGAAGGTACAGAGATTTCCCATCTATCCCCCGCCCCCACATATGCATAGCCTCTCCCATTGTCAACATCACTTATCAGAGTGGTCCATTTGTTAGTTGACGAACCTACATTGACATAATCACCCAAAGACCGTAGTTTACATTATGGTTCACTCTTGCTCTTGTACATTCTAGGGATGTGGACAAATCATGGGTAAATCATCCACTCCAAAAACAAATGGCTCCAGAATATTCCATTTTATGGGTGTATAATAGTGTATCCTGTAGTCTCCCATTGATGGAGGGTTCCATTGATTGATGGAGTCTCCCATTGATTGAGGCTGTTTGCCCAGCGTATTACTACATTAGAACATATAATCCAACATCATCAATTGTGCACATGCTTTTTGAGCACCTACAGGGTGTATGGCTGAAGCCCATGGTTTAGGTGTCTGGCAAAGCAGGTCGTGGCTGAGCAGAGGGAAGTCCAGTTGTCCTCGGTGGTCAGGCAAGACTTGGCACTGGAAGAGCCAAAGGAGAGTTGGCGTGTCCAAGCGTATTGGGCAAGGGAGGCTGCTGAGGAGGAGGGTGGAATCTGCTGGAGAGCCGCCAGCCCCCCGTTCCACAAGTGGGAGTATCAGAGGTCAGTAGAGGAGAGAGAAGAGCAGATTCCCGGAGAGGCCTCGGGAGGCTTGGAGTGTAAAAGTGCCTCCCCTCCCCTGGCCCAGCTATGGCAGCCCCTCATGGGCCTGGGTGTGCCCTCAGGCCTCAGACCTACCACTGGGAACTCCAGAGAAGCAGTTTGCCTTCATTGAGAGGTGTGTGCAGTTGGGTGGGGCCAAGGTTTGCCCTTTGGAGAAGCCGGTTGATGATTCTGTGGTGTTGAGGGAGCAGGGGTTCAGCTCCTTTGGCCAACCCACTACCCATCAGGCCTGTGCTGGAATCACCTGGCTTTCTCTCTGCAGGAAGGAGACCCTGTGAGGGGCTCAGGGTGGGCCTGGTGGTTAGAGCTGCGAACATGTAGGGCTGAATGCTGCCCTGCTGTAACAGACCCCCTGTGTGTGCTGGCCCCATCACCTGCTCTCCTGGCCTCCCCACCTTGTTCCCTGAACTCCTCCCACTCCCTTCCCTCTCTGCCGCTGGACTTCTTGGCCTAAGCTGATCCCTCTGTGGAGAAGGCCCCTGGCCCCAGCTGTCCAGTGTGACCTGACCCATGGTGGACCCCCTCTCCCCAACAAGCTGTGTAGCCTCTTTTGGGCCTGTGCCAAGCCAGCTTGGAAGCAGAACTTGCTGGGTGTTTTCCTGACCTCCTCGCTGGCTGCTGGCCCCGAGGGCAGGCTGGCACAGAGGGGGCCGTGCTGAACGGGGCAGGTGAAATGTACCGCGTCCATAGCCTGCCTCATCGCCTGCCACATTCCCAGGCCCTGCTGAGCTCCTGGTGTCCACTCCTGACCTCTGGCTGGGCCTCTGGGCTCTCTTGGGTCCTGGCCCCCAGGAGACCTTCTCCTTCTGGCCCACTTGGCAGATTCAGCCTGATGAACACTTACGTGACCAGCTCTGGACAACTTTCTGAGGGCCTGGAGCAGTGAAGGTGGCACTGCTTGCTGGGGACTTGTCCTGGTCCTAGCCCTGCTAAGGGCTCAGTGTCTTCATCTGTAAAATGGGTAGAAGGCACAAGCCTCAATGCAATGGGGACCGTTTAGCCAATGAGGAGCAAAGTTAAATTCCCTCCAGTCTCCTGTGCCAGATCTGCCCTCCCTTGCCCGGGTTCTCCCTTCCCAGGGGAGAAATTAGGCAATGGGCATTCAAATACTATGAGGACAGTGCCTGGAGGTCCAACCATAAGCTGCCCCCTTAGTGTGGGAAGATCTGGGACCATCTTGGGGGCCTCCATGTTTTGGAAACCTGTGTGTGCAAGGACATCTCAAGGTGTCCCCTCCCACGACAGGGGTAGATGGAAGCCCAGAGAAGGGAGGGGTTGTTCCCAGGGCACACAGATGATACAGGACAGAGTGGTGGCCTTCCAGCTGCTGTGGTGTCACCCGAGAGGGTTCCAGATGGGCTGGAACCTGCTGCTCCATCGAGCCTTTTGGCAGCTTGCTGTGTGTCCTTCAAGGTTGGTCTGAGTCCAGTTCTTCCTTCCTTTCCCCCCTCTGCCATCCCCCACTGTGAACCGCTCCTCCCTGAAGCCCACTGCAGCTGTTGGGCCTCTCTTGCTGCTTTCTCTGCGGTGTGAGCTTTCTTTCTTTCCTTTGCATCTCTCCCCTGGTGGCCTGGTTTATTGCTGCGTCCCGTTAGAGCCGGGCACAGGCCAAGAGGTTTGATTGCCTGTCGCCCCTGAGCCAGCATCTCCCAGCAACCCCTCACCTGATCTCAGGATCTCAGCTGCAGGCAAGATTGCTCCTCAGACAGCTGGGCTCCCACCCCAGAGAGCCCTGAGGCCTGCATCATGAGCGTCCTTCTCTGGGGTTAAGCTGGGTTGGGGACAAGGCCCCAGGCCAGCCCCTCAGCCCTCTGTGGGGGCAGGCTCCGGGGTGCAGCAGGTGACCCGGGCCTGTTGGAGGGCGAGCCTGGTACACAGCCTCCCAGGCTGGCTGGGGGAAGCCCAGGCAAACTTTGCTACCTTCTCCTTTTTCCTCTGCTCAGTGGTTTAGTGTCTAGTGACCCAGCCCAACGCTGTCCTCTCCCTCAGATGTCCTCCAGTGTCTGGCTCTGGGCCAAGGGTTCTCGGATTTTAGCTCCTCAGAGACTCAACCAAGGTTTGTTTTCAGTTTGCTGGGAACTGGTCAGGCTGCCCCCGTCCACGTGTGAGTGTGAGCCTCGGCCGCATTGGCCTGCAGACCTGGCCCTCTGCCCTCTGCAGACACTCCTGGACGGCAGCTGCCCTGTCCCGGGCATCGACCTGGACCTTGCTCCCCCTCCCCCTCTCACTGGAGCCTGCGTGATCAGGGCTGCTCCTCAGCCCTCTTTCTTACCAGCAGACGTTCCTTTGAGGTCCTTAACCAGTGCTGTTTCTTCTCCTGGGAGACATTTCTTCCGGCCCCTGGTCTCCTGGGGAGTGTCGTGCAGCAGTCCCAGTGTACATTCGCTGTCCCAGGAATGCTCAGGGGAATGACCTGCCCACTGCAGGCCCCTCCTCCCCACCCCACTGTCATGGCCTTAGTCACACCACATCCTGTTTTGCAGGCTGATTGTCACACTTGCTAATTGATCTCCTTAGACCTGGAGCTCACGCTGGTGACCTGTGAGCTGGGCAGAATCTGGTCACCGTGTTTCCCTAGTGCAGTGCCTGAAGAATTTTGTTTAGTTCTTCTGGAGTGGCCTGTGCTCGCCAGTTCCCCACAGGTGTGCCCCCCCTTTCTTGTGACTGTGCACCTGCCCAGCTTCCCACGTCTGCACCATCCACCTGGCCTTTTGAGTTTGCAAGCCCTTTACAAGGGCAGGGACCATATCTGTCTGTCTCTCTGACCACAGGATCCACAGCACTGAGCATGGCAAAGATCAGGAGCTCAATTAATGTATGATGTTGAGTGAACAGATATATTGAGTGAAAAAAAGTACAGAACAGTTTGTTTAATATGTGCAAAACATCATCATGACTGGGTGCACAGAATATCTCTGGAAGGATTCTTATGAACTTGGTAACAGTGGAAGCCTTGGAGAAGGGAACTGGGTGGTTGGGGGATGGGATGGAAATAGGATACCCCTTGTTCTTTAGAATTTAATTCAAATTTTACAAAATTGGAATTTCATTAATAGACAATTACATAATTTAAAAAGATCAAGTCTTGGCATTCGAGGCCTTTCTCGCCGTGGGCTCACCCCAGCCCTCCCGGCCCTCGAGCCCCCTGACTCCCGTGTGGTCTCTCTTCCTATCCCAGCAGTGTCTGGTTCAAGATGGGGTCCCAGGTCTCGATAAACGTGGGAGCTGTGCACGTGGTGATCGTGGGCGGGGGCTTCGGCGGGATCACGGCCGCCAGCAAGCTGCAGGCACTCAGCATCCCCTTCGTGCTGGTGGATATGAAGGACTCCTTCCACCACAACGTGGCAGCCCTTCGGGCCTCCGTGGAGAGTGGTAACGGGCTCTTTTCTGGGGCTTTCTTCGTGAGAATGGTCTTGTCCCTGCTGTGGGTCTGGGAATGCTTTTCTCCACTTAGGGCAAGGTGCCTAAATTCCACAGTTAGACGAACGCCGGAGAATCTCAAGGTCACTGCCCTTAAGCAGCTACCATGTCAAGGCCCCAGAAGTAAGAGCTTGAGCTTCCCTAAGGATCTGAGGCCCCAGCTGGCACTTTATGGGGTAATGGTACCCCGGATAGACCATTGGCCCAGCTGTTTGGCCAAGGGCGCCCCTGTTGGCATGCAGCTCAGGAAAGGTTCTGAGTTACTCTGGCCTACTGTGGGCAGCCCAGTTTTACACTGTGACCTCCTTTGTGTCCATTCTCCAGGGTTTGCCAAAAAGACATTCATTTCCTACTCGGTGACCTTCGGGGAGAGCTTCCGGCAGGGCCTGGTGGTTGAGATAGACCTGAAGAATCAGAAGGTGCTGCTCGAGGACGGGGAGGTGAGCACAGCGGGTGCTGAGCCGTCCATCGGCGGTCTTCAGGAGGCCCCCTGGAGGACGAGGCTGCTGGTGGAAGGAGACCTGGGCGGGTCTCCTCAAGGGTCAAGAGAGTCGTCTGTGGCCCCCAAGCCCTGCTCAGTGCTAGGCAGGTAGCAGATTCCTCATAAGCAAAGGCCTGACCACAGCAGCCACAGGAGTGTGGTGGCAGACATTCCTGTATGCCAAGCCCAGTTGTAAGCCTTACATAGTCTAATGCCCACCATGACTCTGTGAGGGAGGTGGTGTAGCCTCACTTTACTGAGAGGCTCAGTGGCTTGCCAAGGATCCCCCAGTTGGTAAGAGACTCAGCTAGGATTTGAATCAAGGCAGTCTTACCCCAGAGCCCACACTCTGAAAGCCAGTGTCCTGGACCAGAACCAGGCCCGGCCAGGGGGGCCCTCCTCGCTTTCTAGAGTCAAAGGGTGGCACACACATGATCCCCTGGATTGGGAAGTCTTTAGGGGCAGAGGTTTTCTTCACGCATCTGTGCATTCCTCAGCCCGGGTAGAGGGCGGGGCCTGGCATATACCTGCAGTCACTTGAGTGCCATCAGTGAGCTGCCACCAGCCCACTCGTCGTATTGAGGGTCACCTCCAGCCTGGCCCTCTACTCCGTTCAAAGCTTGGGGGGTTGGAAAAAGGGAACACAATTCCTGTCCTCAGTGAGTATGCGATTTAGTGCGAACCAGACCTCCTCGAATTGACTTTATGGCCCGAGAATCTCCCGGGGGGAAAGATTACTGTGAGTCTCCTTGTGCTGCGGCTTTGGGCTGTGCTTTTCAGAGTCCTGGAAGGGTCCATGAGGGCATCTCAGGCCTCCGCTGGGGGAGAGGGGACTGAGTGGGATACAGACCCTCCAGTCCCCCTCCCATCAGAGCAGCTCTGGTTTTGTCAACTTGATATATTCAGGCTCCAAACAGGATTTCTCTCCCTCTCTCCTGTCCTTCCTTTTTTTGCGGGGCAGGGGGAAGTTGCTTCTGAAATACCTTGGCAGTTCTAAACTAACTCCACGTTGGAGGCTAGCATCCTGCTTCTTCCCCACGAGCAGTTTCCTGTCCCCTGCCTGCTGGTCCCCCACTGTGGGGGGTCCCCCACTGTGGGGAGCTCACCCGCCTGTTTCCACATTGAGTGGCTCTGGCAGAGGTAAAATCTGCTCCCTTAGGTGTTTCCTGGGTTCAAGGGCCACCCCCTGGCCTAACCAGTGTGATGGTTTTGCTCCTCTCAAAGGAGGGCTGCTTGGTGTGCCCAGAGGGACCTCTCCCATCTGGTGCCCCTGCCCACTGGGCCTGGGGTTGGACGTAGACACCAGGCCTGCCCTCACCTTTCTTTCCCCTGCCCCTCACAGGCCCTGCCCTTCTCGCATCTTATCCTGGCCACGGGTAGCACAGGGCTCTTCCCTGGCAAGTTTAACCAGGTTTCCAGCCAGCAGGTTGCCATCCAGCTCTACGAGGACATGGTGAGGCAGGTGAGCTGCCCCCTGACCAGGGGCAGGCCCCCTGGGAGAGTGGGACAGCAGTGGTGACACCTGGGGCCGCAGCAGGGAGACCCCCGGGAGGTGTTCAGGGCTGCAACAGCAGCCGTAAAGGTGGAGGATGACTAGAACAAGGTCCTGGGGGGAGGCCTTTGGACCTGTCCTTGAGGTCTGGGCGTGAGCACCCCCGGCCTGCTCATGTAGTGATTGGTGTGACCTGACTCATCCCTCTTGGGGCTCCTGTTTGCCCAGGGCTTTGTGTTTTGTAGAGCAGGCTTGGATCCACAATTTCAGTCAGTTTTCACGAGGGTCCTTAGAGGGGGGTGGGCCGGGGCCTGCTGTCACCCCTGAACAGAGGAATGGAGGCCCACAGCAGGATCCCCAGGGGAGTGCTGCTGCCTGACTAAGGTGGGTCCTTCCCTCTCTGCAAAGCTGCTGAGAAGCCCGGGAGCCCCTTGCACAGCCATGAGCAGACGTTAGTGTGGGGGTTAGGAACCTGGCTTTGAACTCACACAGATGCGGGCCATGGTTGTCTGGAAGGTGGGCAGGTGGTGAAACCTGCCTCATGGGGCTGTTGTGAGAACCGAGTGAGAAAATGCAGGGAGACACCCAGCAAGTGCCTGGCCCTAGGAAGCACATCTGATTGCACATTTGGAAAGGGTTCTCTACCCCTCTTTGCCTGAGGAACCCACCCCCTAGGCTGCACCCTGGGGCAGGGCGGATTTGAGGGTGTGTTTTGCATCTCTCTCTTCCCCAGGTCCAGCGCGCACAGTCCATCGTGGTGGTGGGAGGAGGCTCTGCGGGAGTGGAGATGGCAGCAGAGGTTAAGACAGATTACCCCGAGAAGGAGGTGGGCTAGCAGCCTTGGCTTTGAACTCTCAGCCATGGCTTCTTTCTCCATTGTCTAGTGAACGTCAGGAATTTGCTCAGGGCCGGGAGGTGGAGCTCCCTTAGCAGAGAGTGGGGGCTGTGTTTCGGTCTCCTGCTCTCTGCTCTCTGCACTGGGGAATCCCCCGAAGGCCTATTCTGCCGGGAATTTTTCCTGGAGAGCCAGGGTGTGTCCTGATTCAGTGAGGGGTCCTGCCCTCTGGTCCAACCCGGGAGGATCAAACCCAGGGGAGACACCTCACAAAAGGTTAACTCCGGTGTCCCCTGCAGTGTTCCACCTTTGTGATATAGATGGAGACTTTTTTTTTGAGGGAGATTGGCCCTCAGCTAACATCTGTTGCCAATCTTCCTCTTTTTCTTTTTTCTCCCCAAAGCCCCAGTACCTAGTTGTACACCCTAGTTGTAAGTCCTTCTAATTCTTCTATGTGGGATGCTGCCACAGCATGGTTTGATGAGTGGTGAGTAGGTCCATGCCCAGGATCCGAACCGGGGAACCCCAGGCCACCAAAGCAGAACTTGAGAACTTAACTGCTATGCCATTGGGCCGGCCCCATAAATGGAGACTTTGATGACCTCTTCTTGGTGATGACTAACTTGGTCAAAGACACCCTAAGTTGGTTTTTTGTCTGGGGCGAGCAGCAGCTTTTCTGTTCCTTAAGCGATGGTAGCCCTTGTCCTGGACAGCCACATGGTGGTCCATGCCCTGTGACAGTGAAGGGAGCCTGCAGTGCAGCCCCCTCGACTGCTTATGGTAGGGAAGGACTGGCCAGTGCTGCCTCCTGCCCACGGGAGGGTGGCCCTGTTCCAGTCTAATGATGGAGGGACAGAGTTCCTGCCTGGTGACCTGGAGAGAAAGAGAACATCCTGGCAGGTCGTAAGGCTCGGTGAGGCGCTGAGTGATGATTGGTATTTACAGGTCCTCGAGGCAACAGCTTGCTTGCAGCTGATGCCAGATCAGCTTCTGAGAGCCACACGGGGCCTGTGGATGGTTCTTTTTCCCTAGGCAAAGGCAGGTTGGTTTTGAAAAGTAAGATCGATATGGGCTAATTTAATTATATGGCTGTTCTCTGACAAATCATTGGAAATTATTATAGTGATTGATATAACAAAGTGTAATTTTGATTTATGGGTAAAGACCAGTCAGAAGTAGTAAGTAACTCAGTATAATTTCCATATGTTTATAATTAGTAAACAGATAAGAGCCATAGTAGCCACCCTTTACTAAGGACTCAGTCTGTGCTGAGTTATGTGCTTTAAACATGTTTTCTCATTTTGTCATTACAAAATTCCTCTGACTGGGACTGTGATCCCTGTTCTACTGAGTCTTTGGGAAGTGTCCGAGTATCTGAGATGGGATTCCAACCCAGGCAGTCTGATTTCAAAGCCCAAGCTTTGAACGTCATTCTAGGCTGCCCCCCACTACCCTGTGCTGACCCAGACAGCAAGTAGATGTGCCTGGAGGCGCCAATTTTAGAACCAGCCTTAATGTAAATGTCAGCTTGATTTATAGTTAGGATGTCAATGGCTTATATATAGACTGCATAATTATAAGTGCCCAAGGAGGCTTGAAAATAATTTCCCACGTGGCCCCGGGTGGAGTGTGGCTTGTGGAGCACTGGTGCGTTCGTGGTCGTCAGGTCCCGGGGACAGGCTGGAGCTGAAAGAATCCTAGACCAGGAGGCGTGGGCTCCAGCCCAGCTTGCTGTTAACTGTTCTGACGTTGGGCACATTACTTCTCTGGGGCCTCAGTTTCCTCACCTGTAAACTGGAGGCAGGGGAGGAGGTGGAGGAGGCAACTGATGTGTTTTTAAGCCTCTTTGTGTGAGGAGACTCAGAGGCTCCTTCTCAGGCCCTGTGGTCGTTTGTCCCCAGGTCACTCTCATTCACTCCCAAATGGCCCTTGCCGACAAGGAGCTCCTGCCCTGTGTCCGGCAGGAAGCGAAGGAGATCCTGCTCCGGAAAGGCGTGCAGCTGCTGCTGAGTATGTGCAAGTCCCCTCCTCTCCCCCGCCCCGCCCCTCTCCCGCCCTAGTGAGATTTGGCTCCGAGGCTTCGTCACTGTCTCCAGCTTGAGGGTGACTGTTCTCATCCCTAGGTGGTCCCTGTGTCCTGGGCTTGAACAAAGCCCGTTAGAGCCTTGCTGTCCAGCTGGAGGTTGTGTCTGTCCTCGGGCAGGGCGGAGGGCTTGGTACTTATGGGATTTCGATGCTATGGAGGCAGCGCTGTCCTGGCTGTTGCTTTGGACACGGTACATACAGGTAGTACCTATTTGTTGAATGATTAAAAAAAGAAAGCATCTCAAGGATTTGACCTGAATTATGTCTCTGTGGTAGAGAGAATAGGTTTGTATTTTGAGGGTAGTGAGGAGTGTGGCTCGCATCCAGAGCGGGAGGGAAGAGATCCACCCAGCATGTTAGAGAGTGGGGCTCTAACCCCAGTGACGTGACCTCCTTGCTTTTTGCGGTGTGGGGGCGGGTGTCTGTTCTATGAAAGCCCCTCCTGGCTCCCGGTCCCCTTGTAACTGGCTGTGCAGTGCTGTGACCACCTTTACTCTCAGGCGGTGAGGAGAGTGGGCTGGCTTCTTACTTTTCTTGCTCTCACCTTTGTTGGGGGTGTGCCCGGAGAGCTCGTTCTGCCTGGTTAGGGTGGTGTAGCTGACAGGGGGGTGTGGTTGAGGTTTTCCTCAAATAGCTTTTCCCAGAACTTCTTGGGAAACTCAGCCTCACTTGCCCAAATTGCTTCGTGGAACTTTCCTTCCATTGGATCTCTTGGGGCCAGATGTCCAGATTGTGCTTCTTGGGGCAGCAGAGTGGACTGGGAGGGTGGGAGGGAAGGCGGGAGTAGAGGGATTGCCTAGTTGGGCCACAGCAGTCCAGGGCTTCCCCAGCTTCCACGGGTCTCCAGCCTTCCCCAGCCTTGATGATGTGCCCACCCTCTGCCAGCCTCCTGGTCACGGATCTCCCTTGACAGGTGAGCGGGTGAGTAACCTGGAGGCGCTGCCTCTCAATGAGTGTCGAGAGTGCATCAAAGTGCAGACGGACAAAGGCACGGAGGTGGCCACCAACCTGGTGATTGTCTGCAATGGGATCAAGATCAACAGCTCTGCCTACCGCAGCACGTTTGGTAAGCAGGAGGCTGCGCCGTGGCCCACTCCCAGGCTGCTGCCTCTCTCCAGCTGCCCAAGAGGCCCTGCAGGATCGGCGCCTCCCTGCCTTCCCCCTCGACCTCAGCAGCTCATTGGTCTCTTCTGAATGGTGACATCAACTTGAAATCCAGGTTCAGGTCTACTCTTGCTGTGCTTTCCTCAGCTGCCACCGTGACTTAGCCCAAGGTGGCCAAAGTGATCCAAATCTTCCAAAATTGGGGCCCGGCCCCTAGTGATGAGAGATGGGATCAGGTTTCAGAGAGACGAAAAAGATCCGTTTTCTGTCACTTTCCTTCCTACATGGATGTAGGGGAATTTCCAGGTCAGGTCTTTCTCTGTTCACAGGGGTACTGCTCTCCCCAAACCCTGACCCAAACGTTTGGCCGCTTGAGCTTGGAACGACCATTTGGGAGCGGGGCCAATAACGTGGCCCGTGTTCTAAAGCTCAGTGTTGAACTGTCTAGCTAACCGGAGGTGGGGGGCGTGGAGGACGGCCACCATCTGTGAGCTGGAGATTCAGTGGCTCCTTCTCAGGCTCCAAGAAGCCTGTGTCCCCACGTCCCCATCGTCTATTCCCACGTACCCTTCCTGGACAAGGAGCTCCTGCTTTATGTCCTGCAGGAAAGAATGACCTGATCCCAGAAGAAGGGAGCTGCTCCAGGCCCTGTGTGGGGTGGGACTGAGAGCGTATAGTGAAAAGAGATCTCAGAATTTAACACCTGATTGTCCTAACGTTCTATTTTCAAAGATGAATTCTTTTAAGTCCCTTAAAAAGAAAAGCAGTTTATCATTTATTAAAGCCCTACGTTTATCCTAAAAATATGATCCATGTTCAGAAAGAAATTCAAGACTTGGCTAAGTTGTAACTTAATCATTGTAAGTTAATCGTTGTTAATCATGGTAACTTAGAGTTAGACGCATTAGACAAAATGATACTTGCTGTCTTTCTGACCAGTTTCCGCCCTGGAATAGTAACCTTGCCTCTGCAGGAAGAGTTCTGAGGTGGGCACTTCAGGCAGGAATCAGTTAGGTGGGAGGCTCACCTTGGAGGGTGGCCTGACCCGCATCAGAGCTCATCTTCACCGCGTTCTGGTGGCCGCGGAACATGGCAGCTCAGGATGCTGGTTTTGGTGTTGGTTTTGCCCGGCAGAGGGCCGCCTGGCCAGCAATGGTGCTCTGAGAGTGAACCAGTATCTCCAGGTGGAGGGCTACAGCCACATCTACGCCATCGGCGACTGCGCTGACGTGAAGGAGCCCAAGATGGCCTATCATGCCAGCCTCCACGCCAATGTGGCTGTGACCAACATTCTCAACTCCACGCAGCAGAGGCCTCTCAAGGCCTACACGCCAGGTGAGGGAAGAGAGTGGGGGTCAGACGTGGGGAAGCCTTTTTGACTGCTAGAACAAACTCTCAAAGCTGGTGACAGAAACATCCCCCTAGAGCTCTTTAAAAATAAATCAGGGACTCACCCACCTTCCTAAAAGTCTTATGCATTTTCCAGGCCTGAGACTGAAGGCTCCGGGAAGGGGTAGCGCTCTGGGAACTGCAGGCCCATGAATGCTGGGCAGGACTCTAGTTTGTGCGTGTGTCTCTGCTCCGCAGGCTCACTGACGTTCCTGCTGGCCCTGGGGAGAAATGACGGCGTGGGCCAGATCAGCGGCTTCTACGTGGGGCGCCTCATGGTTCGGCTGGCCAAGAGCCGGGACCTGTTGATCTCCACAAGCTGGAAAGCCATGCGGCAGTCTCCACCCTGACGGGCGGCTGGGCGGGAGATGAGGTACTGCACTGCCAGGTGAACGAATGGTTGACAAATGGCACCTGCCTGACAAGTGCCTGAGGGCAAAAGCGCTTTTTCTGGAGTAAAACGCTAGTGATTTACTGACCAGAAACACAACATATGGAAAACCAAAACCTAGGAGAGAGAGGCACTTGAAAAAGACATGTCCTAGAGGATTCTTTCTGGGTTTGGACAGTTGTACTGGCTGAATGGCTCACTTGGTCCTGGGGAGGGCACAGCAGGCCTTCTCTCCCCCAGGTGCCTCTTGGATGTGCACGTGTGCCTGTGTGTGCGTGTGTGAGCACCTGGGTGTGCATTCAGAGCTCTCAGGCTAGGGGAGAGAGCTGGGTGTCTTGGTGGCTGGCATCCTGGCTGCGAGGGCAGGAAGGAGAGCCTGCCAAGTGAGACCAGCTAGGGAAGGGGGGCTGGGGTGGAGATGGCCTGCACCCCAACCTCTCCCATCGCATCAGGGGTGGGGAAGCCCACACATTCTGCAACACCCAAGCGCTTAATAGGAGCCTAATTTTAAACTGTTAGTCCCTATAATCTTTAATCTTCACGAAACCTCTATATTTCCCTTTTTAGATCCTGGTTATATACTAGAGGTTACATATAAGAAGAAAGAGGCAGATAAAGTTTCCCTCCTGGTTAGTCCATCCTACCAGAGAGTGAGTTTTTACAAAGCCTGGCCTGCCCAGCCGCTGGAGGTGTCCGAGGAAAGGCAGCTGAGCTAATGTGGCTCTCGGGTGGGTTGCCATCTGACTGACATTCAGAGAGCAGAGCGAGGTTCTGCGGGTGAACCCGTGTGCGTCCAGGCTGCTGTCATGGGCAAGTCTGTAAGGGACAAAACTCGAGCTGGGGGCAGGGGACCCTGTGGGACCCTTTGTGGTTTTGTGCTTGTGGTTTCCTGGCCAACCCCAGTGTCACTTATCTGGAGGCCCAGCCATGTGGCAATAAAGCCGGCCACCAGCTGTGTTAAGACGTATAAATGACCCCTCTTGGGAGAGACTTCCAGTCGGGAGGAGCCTGTTGTGGACCACATAGGTTAAATATAGCCGAAGTGGTTGATGAGTTCATGTGAATAAATTCAGGCCCTGACCTGCCCACCCTGCCCCCTTGTGAGGTGCTTGGCCAGAGTCCTCAGATACCAGCCGCACTAGGGTTCTCAGTCCGTTCCGTCTGGGCCGTGGCCCAGGTCTGTTCTGTTTTGTTGCCCAGGCCTCCGTGAGACATGTGCCTCTCTCCTGAAGGATGGCTACCCCACCGGAGGCTTCACCAGGGCCCCGTTCCTGTGGACCAAGGTCAACCAGGCTCCCCTTCTGGAAGCAGGACCTGCCGCCTGAGAAACACAGGCCATTCTGGTGCTGTCTGACCTGGGGCCTAGCATGGTGGGAGTCGCAGCCCATTAATGACAGGCCTGGTTCTATTTATAACATTCTAGAAGTGTCTACCCCTGGGGACACAGTTTTCCAAACCGAGGAAAATGTTACAATAAAAGAATATATTGTAAGAAAGACACTGGATCTTTTATTTTTTTTTCTTTCATTTTCTTTTTCTTTAAAAAACCCAAAAAACAAAAAAAAGCCTGAAGCAAAACCTTTGTAGGAGTAGTTACAGATATTGGGGAGGGGGGTGGTCACTAAAACAGAAAAGAAAAGCACCAGTGAGATGCCTTTCCCATTTTCTTCTCATCACGAGTACAGCCAGCCAGCAAAGCCCAAGTCCTGTTCATGCCCTCTTTCCTTGCAGAAAGGAGAAACAGAAGAGTTGAAGAGTTTTGAAAGGATTCTCTGTATGTGTGTGTACAAGTCAATGCTATAAATCTAAAACGAAGTCTGTTTTTTTAAAAAGTTCTAAAACAACAGGAAGAAAACACATGGAAAGAACCCCTGGTGGAGACCTGGTTATTACGGACTGAGGCTCTTTTTAACGAGAATATAAAATGCAGAGGGTCCTTGCACGGGCAGGAGTCTGCTGCCCACTTCCCTTTCTGCCACCCTCCGCTCCCCTGCCGTCACCCTTCCTCTCTCCTTTTAAAAAATAAAACCCCGCTCCTCTGACTCTGCTTCTCCTCCGATTCCCGTTGGCAAGTGCAGCCGCGGGCACGGGGTGGCTACTTGGTGTCGAGCTTGGCCATCTCCTGCACGTAGATGCCGATGCTCTCGCTGTCGAAGAGCAGGAAGTAGACGTTCTTCAACGAGGACGTGCTCGAGTCATCAAAGTGGGCAGAGATGGCTTTGAGGGTCACCTGGGCTGCTGTCTGTTTGGGGAAGCAGTTTCTGGGCCAAAGGAAAAGAAGAGCCAATGTCACTTTGGTCCCTGGGACCCACGGAGTAACTTTGCCCTGAGCCTGGGTCGGGGGGCAAAGTGGTTCCTTCTTACCTTGGCGCCGGGCCCTTGTTCTCACCATGTGCAGGCTGGTCCACACATGGGCTCTTTAACCCTAGTCAGAGGGGCAGCCTGGGAGGGGCACAGGCAGGGGGACGTTGTCTCCACTTTACAGGTGCCACGCTGACCCAGAGAGGCGCCATGGTTTTAGCCAAGGTCATAGGACTGACCAGTGAGTGGTGCCCTGTGCTTGAATCTATGTCACCTGACTCAAGTCGAGCTCGGCTTTAAAAACACTACCAATGCAGCATTTGAAATACCTATTCTTCAAAAAAAGCAAATATAGGTTTTATTAGCTCCCTTAAAACTGGTTTGTTGGCTAAACAGATTGTTTATTAAAGGGCAAAAATGTATGCTCACAAGTGCACCTTCATATGGACGTGCCAATGTACTTTCAGCAGCGGTGACTCTGGGCCCCAAGCACGAGGAAGCCATGACAGAACTATCCACCAGGCTGGACCACGGCACCATGCTCCAGGGACACAGCCATTGTGTCATTTGGGGTCAGCTGCCAAGCCCCCTTGGGCAGGCCCAGGATGTGCCTTGCCTAATATGAATTCTTCTCACTTGTATGTAGAGTCCCAGTCCAGAACATCATAGCACGCGGTCCCAGCTGTGCAAAGAATCCAGCCTGAAGTGCCTCTGGGCCCAGGCTGTGGAGACCGGTGCTGATTGCTTAGGTTGAGATAGGATTACAGCAGGAAGCTAGGCTCATTATTTCCCTCTTAGCCTTCCCCTGGCTCCAAACAGAATGTCTTGAGAGTGTAAATCATATCTATGTTACAGAGGGGCATCTCAAGAGAGAAGGTGTTCAAAATTAAAGCAATAACTCGTGTTGGCTGTGAGCGTGAAGCAGGGGGATATGCTGCATGTGAGGACAGATAGCCTCATTATTTACCTGAAATACTGCCCTTGCACCCGGGGGGGTCTGTGACAATTAAAAAAATCATTTCTTCTAACCTCCCAAAGCAAACCCTCGGTGAGAACGTTTCACTGCTCCGGGTATATTTGTCACAGCCTCAGCCTCCTGGCTCTCCTGCCCCCCAGAGCAGCACAGGAATCCCCTGGGGATGCTGAGGCAGTGGTCTAGGGTGGGGTCTGAGATTCCACATTCTAACCTGGTGGGGTTGCTGCTGCTGGCTGTGGACCATAGCCAAGGCTGAGGCCTTCGAGCCTGGTGTTTTCTGATCTAGACAGGGACAGCTGGTAGGAACGTGGGCTTTGAACATGACAGACTCTCCAAAAATCACTCTGCTCTCTGCTCCTCCCCGAAGCCGCCCTTTACCGTGTGTTCTGAAGGATGGAAACTGGGTTTCTTGCCCTGTCACGTGGCCAGCATGCTTGGCTGCACCAGGAGCCCTTGCTTATGTCTTCTGGAATGGCCAGACTGGATGTGAGTAAGCGGGAGGGCAGCTGGTTCCCAGGGAGAAGGCTGGATGAACAAGCTCAGAGCCCCTCCCGCCCGCCTGGAGAGGGGCGTCTTACCTGCCGCTGGGGAAGGGTGGGAACGCCAAGGACTTGAGCTTCTTGTCCTCTGCTGCTGACAGGCAGTTTTTGATGGTCTCTTCAAGCTGTTCTTCACATTTGTCGGATCCCCACTGAGGGATGTGACAGTGGATGACAAATTTGGCTGCAAGTCCGCTGGATTGGCTGACGGCGGCTGGGACATGAGAGAGAAATGCTGCAGGTAATTTCCTATGTCTTCACCTTAGGCCAGGGGATTGGGCTGGACCTCACGTGTACCTCTTAGATGCGCGGGGGACTAGGAAGCGATTGAGAAGTTGGCTGGACAATGTTCCGTGCTTCTGATGGGGACTGTACGTTTACCAGAAAGCAGGAGCTGTGTCGGAATTGCTTTGGACAGTCAGCGCAAGCTTCAGATAAACGTGTTCAATGCCAATGTGGAGCATGTGACTTTCACACGGTCTGCCAACTAGTCACTAGGTTAGGCTACCTAATCAGAGGTACACATCAGAAGCATCGCTGGCAGCTGTGGTAGGCTGAGGAATGGCCTCCCCACAGAGTAGATGCCCTAATCCCTTGAACCTGTGAATGTGACCTTATGTGGTAAAAGGGACTTTGCAGATGTGATTAAGTGAAGGATTTTGAGATGGGGAGATTATCCTGGATTATCTGTGTGAGCCCTAAATGTAATCACCTGGGTCCTTGTAAGAGGGAGTCAGGAAGGTCAAAGGTAAGGAGAAGGCGATGTGACAATAGAGTAGATTGGAGTGATGCGGCCAGGAGCCAAGGGATGTCGAAACCTAGAAGCTTCTCTGAGAAGGAACCAGCCTGACCAGCACCTTGATTTCAGTCTCTTAAGCCTCATTGTGGACTTCTGACCTCCAGAACTCTGAGAGAAGAAATTTGTGTTGTTTGAAGCCACTAAGTTTGTGGTAATTTGTTACAGCAGCAATAGGAAACCAATACAACGGCTGTTAGGCTTTTAACAAATAGAGGTGCATGTGTGTGTGTGTGTGTGTGTCCCGCCCCTCCTGACTCAGTGGGTCTGGTCTATGACTTGTGCTTAGTGATTTTAGGATCCACTGCACTTGGCTGTCCGCTCCCGCGGACACGGACTGCGTTTTGATCAGCTCTACATCCCTGAGGAGCCCGCAGGGAGCAGGGGTTCAAAATGGGTGGTGAAATTGAATTTTGCCAGCATTGTCCCATAATTTCAGATCATAGTCCTTACTTTAACTTTTTTCTCCCCCAAACCTATTTCCCGCCAGTGATAGAGATGATAAGCTCTGTGGGGGCTGAGGAGCTTGAGGGAAGTCCCGTGGCTGTTGACCCCCAGAGGAGGGGTTCGGTCTGACCCACCGGCC